TCACTTCCTTTTCTGTCCTATTAAACTATCTTTATCTCAACCCATGAATTTTACTTCCCCCCCCCGCCAATTCTCTCCCCCATCCCACTGTGGGGGAGAGTGAGCGAATGGTTGTGTGACATTTAGCTGTCTGCCAGGTTAAACCACAACATCTGATGAACTAAATTACTGTATTTGCTGTTCTTTCCAAAAGAACAATTTGACCACTATCAGTGAAACTACTGCTGTGACAAACAAATGTTCTTTCTCACTCAGTAGCTGCCTTTAAAAGTCCCATGCCCAAACTTCACTGTAGAGTGGGCTACGCAGTCTCCTAATGATGGCTGCCTGCTGCACTCTTTCCTAATGCATATCCATAATCAAGAAATAAACAGCAGATAATTCCATACCCTCCTTTCCCCCCAAAAAAAAGAAAAGCAGTAAAAGCTATCTAGCCTCAGCCCACCAAATTAGATCAGGAGGAGGAACAACAGCAAGGTGGTCAGCAGCTGTCTTCCTCAAGAATATAACAGCTGGAGGCTGAAAGCCGGCAACACCCAAGCCTAGGCCACAACTATACCAAGTGTTGAGGCAGACCAAATGTGTACGATTTATGGGTTGTATTTAAATGACAGTGATACTACATTAATCAAATGAATGTAAGTTAAGGAATTCTCAATTAAGATTAAAAAACTTCAGAGAAAAAGACAAATTGTAACCGGTGTGTATATATATGTATATCATATATGATATTAAAAAGCAAAAGTGGCATCTAAAGTACGTCAATTTTAATGACAATTTGGCATGGTGGCAGTTATATGACAAACTATAATGAACAAATAATGGAAAATGTGACTCTTCAACATAAGTCTATGAATTCTCTCTCTTTTTTATAAAGAGTCAAAAGAACAAGTAGGAAGCAAAATTTTATTCTCAACATATTTAAGTAAAATGTCCTAGCTTAACTTTTTTCGTTTTCAGAAAAAAAAAAATCCAGCCACATAATCACCCTCTATGTAAGCTTCACGTTATGACACTTCAAATCTGTGCTGCAATTTTGTTGTTCATTGCACGTCACATTTAAGTCATTAGATAAAATTCTTCTGACAGTTGCTTTAAAAACATAGTGTCTGAATTCTTTGAACTTGGGCACAGTGCCCCATTAACGTTAATGCTTAGAAGTCAACAAGACTGAAGTTAAGTACCAGGTCAAAGCCTGCTCTCCTTTCTTTTCTCTTACAAATACAATTCTGCTCCCACAGGTATTCCGCTAGTGTCAAGAGGAAGGATGATGCATCAGATGAGAGAATGAAAACTCACTGAACCAAGTGTTTAAGACTTTGTACTGGATCTCTCCTTTGAAATAATTTATTAAAAATATTTGCCAAAGTTACCTTTGAAATCAGTAGATATTTCAAATGGGTGACAGCAAATTAACACTAATGTAAGCTAATCACAGGTAAACACCCTTTTGAATGTTTCCAAAAGGTTTCAGAGAAATTTTCCAATATCAGTTGCTTCAGTTCTCAATGAATTGGATGAGTATTTGAATGCACCATGATGGACTATTGCTTGGGTATTTTAAAAGTTAACTGAGCTTTCCCCACTTACACACAACAGTTTCTTGAGATTTTTAGAAAAGCACCAATTCACAATGGTTGGTGATAGAAAATACACTGCAGCAAGTGTCTACAAAGTCTTTCCCTGCACAGGTCACTAACTAGTGAGTTTTGCTGCAGCACAAAATAGGAAGGGCACTCCCCCCGCCCTGGAAAACCATGAAGTAATTTCGTAACAGAAAAAATTGACTAAATATACAAAACAATTCACATTACCTAAATAAGTTCAACTAAAAAGCAAATAATTGAACAGAAGAATGAACAACATTCATCTGTAAGCTTTTCATCCTCAAAATGCTAGTCTGTAGAATTCCTAACTTGCAAATGGTAACTTCTAGTCCCTGTCCCACACTAATCCAGGCAGAATGCGCAGCCGAAGCAGAGTCTAGCTTAATTTATACAGGACCAAGTATCAACATACAGAACAATTCTTTGTTGGTCACTTGATGCTTTTTTGCATCATTGCTGATAATCCTTATTACAGAGCACACAAGACTGACTGAGATTCATTAGCCTTTCAAGCTGCAAAACTTTGAATAAGCCTAACTAGTCCTAAGAGTGAATGCTTATTCATATTTTGCATTTCTCTGAATAAAAAATTGCTTTAAAATATACTTTGACTAACCTATTTCAGTTTAAAGATCACACACAGCAGCAACAGTATTTAAATTTTTGTAGTGTTTTCAAGACATTCTTTTTTACAAGAAGAGCTGATCAACTCAGGTGAATTTTTATATTCTGAGATGAACAAGAGAACAAGAGAAATTGTCCCCTTTATACGTCACTAATCCTACAACAAAATTGATTTTGCTCCTTTTTAGAATTTTATGTAACTTACAGTTCTAATAAAACTTTGATATTATAGACTATATTAAATGCTTCTTATACGTATGTCTATACTGCTAAATTAAATTTACATATGCCTTTTCAATTCATAAGCTTCCTAACAAAAGTAAATGATCTTTTAAGACAGGAATGATAACACCTTCATAAAGCCATTAACATATATATATAAAAAAAATCTGTAAGTTAAGAACACTTTTTACCCACTAAAACCAAACAAAACCACCCAGAAAAACACCTCACCTGCATCAGCTCTGGACCGCTGACCTGGTGATTTTCCAAATGGGGTCTTCATTCATCTGTGTTTAAGTGAGCAGCAAAGCTGCTGGACTAGGGTGAAAATCCAGTTCTTCCCAACTCCCAGGGTATCTTCTTATTCTTGGAATAAGACAGCTACTTATTAATCCACCATTCAATCATGAATTTGTCCTTCGTCAAGTGTAGAAGATGCACTTTTAACTACAGTACTCTGAAAAATAAAACAGGTAAAGTATAAATAGTTTGATTTGAGACTTGGTTAAGATAAGCATTAACTGACCTGGTTAAGATAAAAATATTTTGTTTCACTTTAATGCTTGTTTTCATACTCAACAGAAGTTCCTTCATATTCTGTTACTCTGAAACATTCAGCAAACAGAGGGCATTAGGCAAGAACACAGCAAAACAAATACTACGGCTGCTACTTTTCCCTCATATTCATAGGCAAGTCCCATATCACATCGAAGTCAACTACAAACAGAAACGAAAGCTTCTTAAAAACCACTGAGCTTAGTACAGGGATGAATGACTACTAGCTTAGAAGAAACTGTACTACCTTCACCAGAGGTGAAGTACAAATCAACTGTTTACATTTATTAGAAACAAAAACACCCTCACACCCACATAGCAGAACAACTTTGCTTCACAGAAGTTAAAAAAAGTCTGTTGAAAAAATCCAACACGTAAAAAGGTACCAAAACACTGATTCCACTGCAATGACCACTCAAGCCACCAATTTGTTGAGTAAGTCATCGGTTCATAGAAGATCTGCAGAGGTTTTTGGTGATTCTCTACACCTAAACTCATCAGATTCCTAAAACATTTAGTCATCACATTCCTCTAGATGAGGGAGATAAGCGAGGACAAGTTTTTAAAGTCCTTTTCAGGATCAATTACAGAAACTTGTGATCACCCGAAAATTTGAAGTACAGGTTGACTTATTTCAGACTTCCAACATTTTTGGACAGGAAACATTTATCCAGATTAATCCATTACTTCAGTGCTGCACATGGCTAAGACAAGAGAGGTCAGATCATCCTTTTAGCCCCGTTTCCTTAAGAAATGTCATTGCTGTAATCATGTTCTCTGTAATCTGTTAATCCATGCTGGTCTTCCCTCTTTTACTTTAGTTTTGGAACCTGCTGTCATTTTTCATACAGGGGTTAAAAAGAGGAATGCCCCTAACTAGGGCAACTAGTGATCCAGCTAAGGGAGAAAGTGTAACTTATGCTCGTGCCTTACTGAGTAAGGGAACATACAAGGACACGCCTTGAGGTATGGTAAAACCATTACGCAGAAAAATGCATTTATATCTAGTAACACTTGCCAATTCTTCCATGAATCACATCCATTAACTTCTAGGAACATTAGAGCAACACAGAGGAATACTCTTAGGAAAAAACAGCAACAGGGAGACAAACATTCAGTAATTTGCAGTTTTTAGAAAGATCCGTACTATGTTTGGAAGAGCTAACTTAAGACAGAATTCCTCACAGCCAGGAATTCGTAAGAATTTGTGAAATTAAAGTTAAAAATTAAAAATTAATTTACAGGAACTTGGTAGTTTTTCCACATTTCATCTCTTCCTGAAATCTACCATTGTATACGCAGCAATGCTGAATGATACCAGAGCGACAATAGTAAACTTTTCAAAAGCACTTGAAGATGCAATAGGAAGCAATTAGCTTGCTTAACTACTTTACTAGAACACAGTGTAAGGATTGTTTTTCTACTAAACTCAAAAATATTTTACTATGGATTAAAATACATTAGCACAGAAGCATCACTGATTACGAAAACAAACTGAATTCAGAGCACTGATGTGATATACTACCATATTCAGTCTCACAGGCACTGCATAAGCATACAAGAGACACCCAATTTTTTCCTCCAGGAGAGCTGTTAGCTGAGAATCAACTGTAATCTAGTGTTATATTTTTCCACTTAGAAAAACCCACATCAACAAAAAACCCTACCCCCCCCCAAATAAACCAAACAACCTACCACAAAACCACAAACTGTGAAAATTCTTCAGATTTAGAAACTAATATGCCCTTTTGTAGTAATCTGTTGACCTGTTATTCAAGAAGCTGTAAATATTTCGTAACACCTGTATGTATTATATACTTCCCCGCCCCCCGATTTCCAATTCATGGCAAAAATATAAAGTACTATATAGATATTTTAATTTCACTGGTTGCTAAGTAGCTATGTTTATAAGATAACTAAAACACCACAAAAGTTGTGGTTTTCTATGAGTTAACTTTTTTTTTCAACAGTATGTCCCCAATCATTACTATGCCACAAATCTGAAGTCATACCTCTAAAAAGAAAAATTACTTCCCAATCCTTTTAAAGTCACAATTCATTTGCTAGCACTTAATGAGTGTTTCACTGTACTCTCCGAACCTAAGGACACAGGGATACTGAAGTCAAAACCCGATTCAGCAGTTCAAACTGATTTTCTAGAAGCTAAGCCAGTAACTGCCACTAATTCAAAACCTCACTGAAGATTTTCACTGAAAGCAAGTGAAACTTGAGTTTTCCTAAAACTAGCATTCTGAATTCAATTTACATTTCAGTTTCACACTGACAGTTCTGAAGACATTAATAAGGAGGGATAAAACCTGATTTTCTGAAAATAAACTGATGTACTTTGAGAACATCTTGACTTTGAAAGCATATGTAACTTGAGTCTCACTTACTTGATTAAAAATAAACCAAAACCCATAAAACTTAGGATTCTTAAATATGATGAATGACAAAACAACTCATTTAACGCCATCATGCAAATATCTTAAACTCTTAATACGGAAGATCATCAAGAAAAAAATTAACTCACAAAATGCAAAACCTTTTATTACAAAATATTATTACAAGTCTCAAAGAATGTCATGTTCCATGTAAAAGTAGAAAAGTTTAACATGCTTCCGACGTATTCAGTAGCAATAAGCTATACTGTTAAGGAAGAGTAGAAACTCCTTGTTCGGATGCATGTAAGATGACTTACGAAACAACCAACTTTTTAGGGCAATTCTGTTGATAGCAGCAGATATAGCAAAACCAACACAAGTAGCTTTTTTGGATCCAAACTGACACATCCAAAACAAGTTATACTAGTCTTTACACACTGCCAGTAACTTTCAGAGGAGAAGTGCCACTGCCTACCAGTTAGGCACCAATCTCCCCAACACCTGACAGCACAAGTCACCAGCAGTGCAGCTGCAGGTTTCGGTTAAAGACAGGCATTCTTCTGACTTGTCATCAGCTGCAACTACTCACTCAGCCCAGGTGCTTTGCTTGTTTGTTTCCACAAACCTTCCTAGATCATAGCACACTTACATAAAAAAACCCAAACAATGTGGAAATTAGATGACTACTTTGTCCACTAGTGTTCTAATTATTGTGGAGTGTTTCACAGAAGGTTAAGTGTTAGACTAAAACTGCAAGCCCTACAAACTGTCAATCATACCAGTTTTAGTAAGAATAGTACAATCATGCTATCAGAGTAGGGAGGAAGACATAATATTAAGGCAGAAAAAAAAAAGCTGTGTTAAAAAATTATTTCTGCAGTATAAAGGCAAAAGGAGCAAAAAAGCACACAGACTGCAGCTTTCTCTGTGAACCAGCTTAACCCCCTCTATAAACTTAGTTGTTTAGAAACATTAGAATGTTTTTATATGAGCTTTTAACTCCATGAAAATAAGGGTAACCACCTAAAACAATTCTCTAGCTTAACTTTCAGTTAACTTTCATGCTTGTTTTTCCACCAAATTACATGCATGTCACTACAACACACAGTACAATGTTGTTTACTGCATTCTAGTGAAAGCTTCATGACCCTACTACCCATGGGAGAGGGATGTTAGTAGCACAAAAACATAGTTGTGATAATTAATGCTAATGGCAGCAAAAACACAAAGTTAAGTGCTTCACTCCTAAATAGCATACCTAAATTTTACCATCATGAAAACAGAAGGAAATAGTATCAGAACATTTGCTGAGACATTGCTTTCGGGGTAAAAGTTTGGAAGGAGAGGGAGAGTAACAGCATGTGTTGCTTGTATCTCTTAAATACAGAACTGCAAATTCAGATTATACACCCTTTGGTGTTAACTACAGACTCCCACCTTCTCAGGAGGTCTGTTCCTGCTTTCAGAGTTACCAGTGAGCAGGCCTTCTGGCACCACCTGGCGGACTCCAATATTTTCACTTTGACATCTAAAACATTTCTCTTGCATGCAACTCCCCCCCTGTAAGTTTGCACTGATAGTTGTTCAGCGGAGGACCGGCACGTCACAACACATCACAAGACTGTTCAGTGAAAGGAGTCATTCTGAAATGAAATGCATCAGCTGAAGAGATTCCTTGGTAAGCGGTATTTTGTTTTCCGTAACTCAGCTCAGAACTGCTGGTACATGTTTCAGTTGAAGTAGTACCACGATTTCAGCACTAACAATTTGGATGAAGCATGTATGTTATTTAGACTCCCTAATTCTTACTGTATGAACAGAAAGGATCATCCCATGCAAGTCTTCTGCACCCTCTTCCCCAAAGGCAATCTTAATGTTAAAATATCTCCTAAATAACAGGGGGAATAAAAATATATGCCTGGTTTTAGTTTGAGTTACTTCCCCCCCCCCCCCCCCCCCCTCCCCACCCCCCCCTTCCTTCCCTAATAAAAAACCCCAAACATTTTCCTGTGGTGTAAGAATTCAGCCACTCAAATTCCAAATTTATTTTGAAGTATCCCACGGGTTCATCCAACATATTGGTTATTAAGAACTTTTTTATCCTATCACTAGGATTTTGTGTGGGTAATAACATCTGATATATGAGAAGAAACATTACAGTATGTAAACTCTGAACACAGAAGTGATTTACAGCTGACAACCGTGAAGAGCAATACATTTCAGTTATGGATTTATAAGCTGAAAGACCCCACAAACAAAAAATCAAACCCCAGAGTAATCACATTCAACACTACCATCCTGGACAACTGCTTAAAATCACAGGAAGAAAACACTATATCCCATTTGGACATACTTTGCTGGCATCTGCTCCTTGAAAAGCCCTGGATTACTGCGAAAGAGGTCAATTTCGGGAAGTTAATTCTAAGCACCCTACAATGAAGGGTAGGGTGTTTGTCTTAAACATTCACAGAAGTACACATTGCATTCTTAAAAGAAATAAAATCCATAGGTGAAAAAC